TATGGAATTAAACTTAATTTTTCCGCTCCTATAACTCCCCCAACAAAATGGTGTTATAGAGTGCAAAAATCGAGTTTTAGAGGAGTTGGCAAGAACTATGATCAATGAAGGTGGTCTACCTAAATATTTTTGGGCCAATGCAGTAAGCATAACTTGTTATGTTTTAAATAGGATACTTATACGTCCTATTTTAAACAAAACTCCTTATGAACTTATAAAAGATAGAAAACCAAATTTATCACATCTTCATGTCTTCGGATGCAAATGGTCTCAAACAAGCCCCTAGGGCTTGGTATGAGCGACTTAGAAAATTCTTACTTGATCAAGGATATTCTAGAGGGAAGGTAGATACAACACTTTTCATTAAACGTCAAGGAAAACATATTCTTCTCGTTCAAACTTATGTTGACGATATCATATTTGGTTCTTCTAATATGAAATTGGTCAAAGAGTTTTCGGAGATAATGCAGGGAGAGATTGAAATGAGTCTAATGGGGGAGTTAAACTACTTACTCGGACTTTAAATCAAACAACTCAAGGAAGGAACTTTTGTGTGTCAAAAAAAGTATTGCCAAGAGTTGCTTAAACGCTTCGAAATGGTTAGTGTGAATTTAATTGACACTCCAATTCCCACAAATGGAAACTTCGACAAAGATGAAAATGGTAAGGATGTTGTCATCAAAAGGTATAGAGGTATGAATGTATCACTCTTATATATTACTACTTCTAGGCCTTTGGTATCCCAAAGGATGCGACTATAGTTTAGTTGGTTACTCTGATTCTGACTTTGCCAGTTGCAAATCAGATAGGAAGAGCACTAGTGGAACTGGCCACTTATTTTCAAACTCTTTAGTCAGTTGGCATAGCAAGAAGCAAGTATCCGTTTCTTTGTCAACTGTTCAAGCGGAATATGTTGTTGCGGGTAAATTTTGTGCTCAAACTTTGTGGCTTAAACAACAATTTCTTGATTTTGACATTAAACTTCAAAGTATTCCCATAATGTGCAAAAATAATAGTGCTATTAACCTAACTAAAATAATGAGCTACACTCACATACTACACATATTTAGATATGTCACCATTTCCTATGAGACCATGTTGAAAAAATGGATGTCGTTTTTGAGCATGTTGATAACAAAAGTCAACTTGCTGATATTTTCATAAAACCTCTTGCGGCCAAACCATTTTTCAATATTCATCGGGAATTGGGCATTCTCGATATCTCAAATTTTACCTAAATAGTTTGATACATGCACTCTCTCTATAATTGTTTAACCTTCTTTTGGAAGTTCTAGTTCTTGTGAGTGCATCCTCCATTTGTCATCCTATGGGGTAATATCGTTTCGCTTATCTCTTTGTACGTAAGTGTTTATTTATTCCATTGCTTATACATGACTCTTAAAAACTTGATTACATGTTTATGTTTCAAATGTATCTGATATATTTGATGTGTAATGCAATCCCATGAATGTTCACTTCCAAAAAATTTGTTGTTAACATTGCGTGTTTTCAATCCATATGCTTATAGTGACTTCATGTTTTAATATTTTGCATTTCATAATCATTTGTATTTCATGGCATAAACTCTTCATTTGAAATATCTTATGATAACTGATCTTACTGGTTGATCAGGACCTGTAAATGGTCTGAAGGATGATATCTGGCTTGCTGGAAAGTTGAGGAGAAATAGGGCGTTGTACCTGCAAGGCACTCTGATGATCAAGAAAGAATGGGTGCAAAGAGATACAAGCAGAATATTAAGGTTTAAGGTTTGAATATTGGGTACCTGGCCCTCATAAGTGTGAGGGTTTATATAGTTCCCCTAACGCGTAGTCATTGGTCCCTATTTTTGGGCCTAGATATGCGGGTCCGTAAAAATAGGTAACTGCCAAGACTGGGTCAAAACAGACAGTCGTGCCTGTAACTAGCCGTTGCATCGAGCAAGATCGAGATGACAGGCAGAAGCGTTCATGAGCATTTCCTGGGCGTCTGCTCCTCATGTGTCGAGCAGACTGGGAGGTAGCTTCCCGCACGGGAAGGCGTGTGTTTCGGGTATTGTTGGTCACGTTATTCAAGGGCATGGCCGACCGTAATGCTAGGCCAGTAATATTGGGTTGTGCCAAAGGTGGAATCAGATTGGGCCAATTCTATTCATTGGGCCAGTCTAGAACAGGAGCCCCCTAAGTCGTTGCTTTTGGGCAGAGGAGTGATGACTTAGATGTGCTTGCAAAACGGGGGTGCTCCTTGGTCGATTTCACACGAGGAGTACAAGTGATGCTCGGCGTGTTTGCCTAGTTGAGAGAGGAACAATTGAGCAACTCCGAGGAGTTATCATGTTTCGAGGGGTAATTTCATGCGAGGAGTCTGAAAATTGCTCTGTGTGTTTGTCTCTCAGGGAGAGGAACAATTGAGCGTCTCCGAGGAGTTATCGTGTTTCAAGGGGAAATTTCGCACAAGGAGTCTGAATATTGCTCGGTGTGTTCATCTCCCTGGGAGAGGAGCAATTAGTTGGAATCTGGGGAGTTTGTGTGCCACGCTTGCCTCGAGCCACATGTTGCCATAAAGGCGTGATGATGGCTAGCCTAGGAATTAAAGCGTAATGATGATGCCTTTTAGGGTTCCCTAGGTGCGTGCTCGCTCACGTGCGAGCATGCTATTCTATAAAAGACAGGGAGGGAGCTTTATTTTTACTTTTTCGCTTTCTCTCCTTCTGCTCGACACTGCATATTTCTGCTCGACACAATTGTTCTTTGAATCATTTCGTTCGTTCCGCTATTCGCCGATGTTTGCTTTGCCAATAATTTGGTAAGGTTCTTTATTCTTCCCTATTTCAGTGGAATTTTTTTATGTTGTAGGCTAGGTTTTACGCCTCTTCTTTTAAAAATGTATGCGGTTTATGGCTTAGAGTAACTTAGTGTAAGAATTACTGGCGGAGTGTTGGTTGTGGATGGTGGTTCTGTTGCCTAAGGATGGTAGTTCCTCTGCATGTCTTGTAGGGATGCTTCAAACATAGTGTAGGTAATAGAAGTTTGTGATGAAGTCTCCGGTAATATTGGGGCCGTTTCTGGGTTCATGCTATGGTCTTCGTGAGGGACGATGAATTCCCAGGAGCGGCTTCAAGCCAACAATATTGGGGAGATAGCTGCTCGGAGGATCCCCATCCTTGCTCGGTGCAGATGCGCCCGATAAGACAGGGTCCTCGTTCCTTTGCGCCATTTCACTTGATTAGCGGTGAAATGGTGGATTTAATTCTGATGTCAAATTCACTTTTGTCCTCTGCTTCTCAGGTATAATGGCCAGTGGTACGGAAGATGAGTTTATGGCCGAACCTAGTGACTCCTTGTTAAGTCTTTCCGAGTGCTCTTCGATGGAAGAGAACCTAGTGACTCCTTGTTAAGTATTTCCTGACTCTCTTCATCCGATCTTACCGAATACAGTTGAAGTAGAAGCAAACCTATATTTTCAAGCTCAACCGAGCCATATCATGGAGTATGCAAGCAAGTCATTGCGAAACAAGGAGATACTCATGGTGAAGTTTCTTTGGGAGGAGTCGTATTCGAGCGAGGCTACTTGGGAGCTCAAGTCCAAGATGCGAGAGTTCTATCCTCATTTGTTCTTGTAAGTTTTAAAGTATAAAAGCTAATATAAATTTTATTATTTTTATTTTTATATAAAAAATATTTTATATTTTACCTTACACCAAATTTGTTGAATCGATACTGCTTATATTGATCTGAAGTGTTTCACGTTGGAGTTAAACTAATAAATACATGATAAAAAAAAAGAGCTATCCAACTCACTCTATTTTAGATATGAAGATTCTCATCTATTTTGCTTCCATTTTGTCTCTTAATTCTCAACCTCTTTCTTCATTAAATAAGAAAAATATAATCAAATAAAAAGTGAGTAAAATTAAAAGAGAAAAAAATAAAAAGATAGTCAAATATAAGAAATTTAGAGTATTTTGAAAAAAAATATATGTGAAAATGTATAACACAAGAGAGTGAGAAACTCATTTCTTTAAAATAAAAAGGATGATCTTTAAGAGATAAAGTAGACAGCTACAGTGATTTTTGTTTTGATCTGAAATTAGACATTTTCAAATTTTTTATTTTATATATTTCATCTACCAAAGAGTAAGAATTGTATAACTATCAAACTAAAACAGCTTCAACCAAATTCTGGTCTCGCACGTATTGATGAAATTACGGTAAGATTCAAGTGAGAAACAAAAGGGGATGTAGCTCAGATGGTAGAGCGCTCGCTTAGCATGCGAGAGGTACGGGGATCGATACCCCGCATCTCCATATTTACCTTTTCTTCTTCTCTTTTTTGATGACGCAATCCGTAACGCGAATGCGAAAATTTTCTTTTAATTTTATCAGTTTCAATAGGTGTTTGAAATCAACATTGCTAGGGTTTGTTCTTCAACCTTGAATGTAATTTAATTTTATCAGTTTCAATAGGTGTTTGAAATCAACATTGCTAGGGTTTGTTCTTCAACCTTGATTGTACGGGTTTGGATGGTTTGGTTGTACATTTTGTGCAGGGAGTTCATCAAACATTGCTGAGTTTGACGCCTGCTGACGGGGTGGTATAAAGTATGCTTCTCAGTAGCAACATGAAAATAATGACTTGGAAGGTAATATTATAAGTCATTTCATATATTGGTTTAGAGTTTTTTGAAATTCATGTGTCGTGGCTTGTGAAATATTACGATTATTGATTGACTATTAGATAAAAGTTGCAGTTACTTAACAGTTATTCCGCAAAATTGATCATGGGAATGTGATACTGCTATAATGCTATTAATTGTTTTATTTCATTGATGCACAAAAACTTTTCCTATTTATGTATATATATTTATTATGCAACTTTCTCCGTCATTACTGCAAAGCGGCGCTATCCTCCAAATTTATGTTGGGCGGCTAATACTTATAATAATGAGAGAGATTGAAATCCCTAGTAGGGGAAAAATGCTCCCACTGTGATGAATTTGGATGTGTTCCTGCATAAACAAGACCATGTATGTAATCTTCTTTATAACCAACTCCTTTCTAGTTCTTAATTTTTTTTTGTTTCTAACCATGTGTACTTATGTATTGGAATTTCAAGTTTATTCTAGTGATTCAATACCTTGGATAAGTTTGTGTCATTGATTGCTTTGACTTGTGTTGACTTATCACTTATCAGTAGTCAAGTTCAGAGTTTTATGCTTGATATTTTGTGGGCAGTTCTGGCAATGGCAGAGGAAGGGCTTTTGATACAATAAATGATAGAGAAAGAACAAGAGGGTGGGGTGGTGGCAGTGTGAGTGGCTCGGGAACGGATAAAATTGATGCTCTTGGTAGCCTCCTGTAAGCACTACTTGGCCCTCTAATAGTTTTTTGTTTACATTAACATTCCTTTCTTCCTTTGTAGCTAGATAATGCAAGTTTCATTTGTCTTTGTTCTTTTGTTTGAAAATAAAGTGGATATTCTCACCATGTGTACTTATGTATTGGAATTTCAAGTTTATTCTAGTGATTCAATACCTTGGATAAGTTTGTGTCATTGATTGCTTTGACTTGTGTTGACTTATCACTTATCAGTAGTCAAGTTCAGAGTTTTATGCTTGATATTTTGTGGGCAGTTCTGGCAATGGCAGAGGAAGGGCTTTTGATACAATAAATGATAGAGAAAGAACAAGAGGGTGGGGTGGTGGCAGTGTGAGTGGCTCGGGAACGGATAAAATTGATGCTCTTGGTAGCCTCCTGTAAGCACTACTTGGCCCTCTAATAGTTTTTTGTTTACATTAACATTTCTTTCTTCCTTTGTAGCTAGATAATGCAAGTTTCATTTGTCTTTGTTCTTTTGTTTGAAAATAAAGTGGATATTCTCATTCTTTTCATGTGGAGAGAAGTTTGTCAATCTGTCATGCTTTGATTAAGGAAGGAAGCAATTTTATAAGATATTTTCTGTAAATTTAGCCAATTAAAAGCAGTCTCTTTTGAAAAATAACATGTACTTTGTTTGCATGGGATTGGAGCAACATAGTAGATGTCGGATGAACTCTATGCTATGACTTAAGTAAAACTGTTTTGTGCCTAATTCTTTTACTAAGCAATTTCTCTCATTATAATTTTGTTTAATATCTGCAGGATATGGCATCTGAATTGAAATTGAATATGAGGAGTGATGGTTATTTGAATGTTAATGATTTGCTAAAGTTGAATTTGAAGACACTTGATAATATTCTTCTGCGATCCAACACCATTGATGACATTAGGGAGGTCAGTTGTCTAGTATATGTTTTTTTTTTCTTTCTGTTTCCGGCTGCACAAGCTCATCCCATTTTATATGCTTTTCCGTTTCTGTTTTAATTTGATTATCATGAATACAAAAAACAAATATATAAAATAAAGTCATATTTATGGTATTAGCCGTACTCCAATATGTTTATTTTTCTTTTATGAAACACAAGAGAATGATTACCTATGGAACTTTTATTCCTTTTGTCATCTGTTTTTTATAATGAAGCTCTTGTGCTGATTAGTAGCTTTTTATATTAGAGATTTTCTTTCCTTTTTTATTGTACTCTAACAGGACCAGGACCAGGACCAAGAATTCTAGAATTAGGATGAAATAGCTAGTATGGGTGACCGTAAATCGCAGAAGAGAAACCTTTTGGAACTGTATTAATTGAAGGAAATGCAGTACAGTGGACGGAGAAGATTCTCCCTACAATTTTAGAAAAGTAAACGCTAACCGAATGATACTCACCGAGAATATCCCCTACTGAGTTGATAATTGCTCTCTCTTCTCGGTCCCAATTTCTATTTCATAAAACTGACCCCTTTTTCACTTCTCAATTCTATTATATTCACATTCTCTTCCATGATTCTCTCAATCCCCACCACTCCTAGGCTGCCATCTGTCATGTTAGTTGCATTTCCTCTTAACCACTTGTCAAGTTTGTTAGAAGTTAGTTAGGCTAACCACTTGTCAAGTTAGTTAGAAGTTAGTTATGCTTCCGTCTCTTCTCTTTCTTTTTCTTTTCTACCCTTCCTTCTATACACATATTTTAGAGGCCTATCAACACTAACCCCCACCAGTGCTACCTTGTCCTCATGGTTAAATTCTGGGAAGACTCGAGAGATTTCCCAAGTGTTTTCATCTTCAGGCAGTCCCTCCCACAGAATCAGCACCTGTTCAGTTCCATTCAGTAGTCTCCTTACTCCCAACACTTCCTTTGGTTGAACTTGTAGCTCCCATTCTGCATTCAAACACTGGTAACCGCTGCACTGCAATTCCACTCTCTACTGCTTTCTTCAGCTGAGATAAACGGAACACCAGGTGTATTTTAGAATTGGAGGGTAATGCCAATTTATATGCTACACTGCCAATCTTGTCGATAACTTTAAATGGTCCATAAAATCGTGTACTCAGCTTCTCATTGGGTTTATTAGTTAAGGATTTGAACCCCTATAAGGTTGTGCCTTCAAGTACTCCTTATCCTTCAATTCATAGGTCACCTCTCTCCTCTTCTTATCCGCCCACTGTTTCATGCTATTATGTGCTCTGTTCAACTGCTCCTTTAAGTTTTCCAACACAACATCACGTTCCCCTAGGAGTTGATCCACCCTTCAACTCTTGCCCCTCCCGAGGGTATTTGATCACTCATGGTGCCCCCTCCCATATATTGCCTTAAATGGGTTCATGCCAATTGAAGCATTCTAATACAAGTTGAACCAAAATTTAGCCCATGCTAACCATTTTACTGTTTTGGCTGTTCATTGGCAAAACACCTCAAATATGTCTCCAACGTTCTGCTTGTTACCTCCAAGTGCCCATCCGTTAGTCGATAATAAACAGATCTGAACTTCAGTTTGGTCCCTGATAAGGTGAACAACTCACGCCAAAAAAGACTCATGAGCACCCGGTCTCGGTCAGAGATGATGGAAGTCGGAAACCTGTGTAATTTCACCACTTCATTGATGAACATCCCAGCTACTGTCCTTGTTGTATAAGGGTGACTCAAGGCCTTGAAATCAGTTCCTTTGGACAGCCTATCTACCACCACCATTATAGTGTCGTTCCCTTTGGATTTTGGTAGTCTTCCAATAAAATCCATAATGAGATCCTCCCAAATCTGAACCGGCACAGGAAATTATATACCAAAACTACACTTTTTAAAGTTCACCTGTAGAGGATGTGTCCTTAACACCTCCAACACAATCTTCAAATGGTCAACATGTAAACCAGTATGTCGTCAAAGAAAACCAACATAAACTTTCTTAAATAAGGCTTAAAAATATCGTTCATGAACACTTGGAAATTGGATTGTTAGTCCTAGATGACATTTGGATGGAGCATTAGTCAAGCCAAAAGGCATGACAACTACTCATAGTGACCCTCATGAGTTTTAAAAGCCGTCTTGGAAATGTCACTCTCTTTCATTCTTATTTGATGATAACCCAATTTCAAGTCCAGTTTTTTTGGTATCAGTGGATGGAGAAGATTCTCCTTACAATTTTAGAAAAGTAAATGCTGACCGAATGATACTCTCATTGTGAGAATATCCCCTACTGAATTGATATTTGCTCTCACTTCTCAGTGCCAATTTCTATTTCATAAAACCAACCCCTTTTTCCCTGCTCCTCAATTCTATTATATTCAATTGTCTTCCGTGATCCTGTCAATCACCAGTACTCCTAACTGCCACTTGTCCACTCGTCAAGTTGGTTAGAAGTTAGTTAGGATAACCACTTGTCAAGTTAGTTAGGCTGCCACCTCTTCTATTTCTTTTCCTTTTCTACCCTTCCTTCTATACACATATTTTGGAGGCCTATCTCCTGTATTTTCAAAGGACCTCTATAGCTTGTACATGAAAAATATGAGAAATATGGAATGCTGTTTCATTCTTCAATATTTGTTCATCTAGTTATTAATACGAACCCTTAACTCTTAATTGTAATGTTAATTTCGTATGAATTTGCTGAAGAAAAACATTTTATTCTAAAGTATCTCATGGTTATCCTCAGGCTGTTCGAAAAGATAATAAGCAACGTTTCAGCCTCATAGAAGAAAACACGGTAAAAATATTATTTGTTCATCAAATTTGCCTATTAAGTTTTTATAATTGAAGTGGTCGGTATTGTACTCTGTAATACATTAAAATGGTAATGCACCTAATTCTTTGTTCAAATTTGCTAGTCATTGTCACGTTGAGACGCAATCAGTGACATGCTCTTTAAGACTCAACTAGTCAGAGACCCATGCTCCCGCACGGGTGAATTTATTTGATACGATATAAAATATACTTAGAAGTACATAAGTTTGAACTGAGATATTTAATTGTAAAATAAACAATAATCATAAAATTCAATTGTATTAAATAATCATATAAAATGAAAAGAAAAAGGGAACCAATGAAATCTAGAAAAAAGAAAAAAGAAAATTTTGAAATTTGAAAGAAGTTTGGTCAATTGAATAATAATTATTTGATGATGATCATAAAAGCTCAATGTATTAAATAACCATATAAAAAAAAGAAGCGAGAGTTGGAAGAAAATATGAAATTTTAACAAATATAAATGTAAACAGGTAGTTGATAGTGATTTTATCTCTTAAATTAAGATAATGGTTGATTAAATTAAATTAAATATTGTGTTGATAGTGATCTGTGAGATAAATAAATTTTCCATTTTATTAAAATTAAAAAAATATATTATAGTGATAATAAAAAAATAGATTAAAATTAAAAAAATATTACAGTGACCCGTGATATTAAAATTAGAAAAATAGATTAATTTGTAATTTTAGTGATAATAAACAAATAACATAGATTAAATATGTCCTAAAATTAGTGTTTCTTTAATGATCTAGATATTTAGCCTTTATATCATACAATAAACTTCTTTTCAAGGGTTAAATGCCTTCTTGCCTTCTACTCCTGCAAAGCAATTTTTTTGTGATTCCTCCCTTATAAAATACAGACCCTTTTTGTACTATTTAGCTTACTGTGCATAAGGAGTCTTGCTTTATTCATCAAACATCCAACCACCGCGCCATCAGTTTTGTTGTTGCAAATAATTACCTCAAATTAATTAATATCAAAATTATTTTTTTCCAATTTCAAATCCCTAATTAAATCTGATAAGCAAAATAAAAAGAAATCTGCAAAATATTAAGACGAGTTACGGTTGTTGTTATTGTTTTCCTTACAGGAATCTTAAGCACACCGTCCTTGTTCATTATCGTGAAACGCAGAAGGCCGTCTTAATGATCTTATTTGTCCCTTTTCCTCTTAAAATCTTAGTTTTATTTACACACAAATGTAAACTATATCCTTGTTAACCTTCATTTGATTGTGGACCGATAGAGTCTCAAAACTCTACTTTACACTGGTAAATTCAAGTTCGAGCTCTATTTTTGATTCAACTATGTGGGTTTCATTAGAAGACTTAGATTATGGAACCAACAATGCTTATAATAATGGTGAGAAATGACATCTAGATAATTGTTGTCATAGACACTGTTGTTTTCTTTCCTTGACTGTGCCCACATATTTTCATTCTCTTTAGTGTTTTGGAGAAAATCAGAGCTAGATGGATTAACAGGTAGAAGTCTTGAACATAATCTTCATGAGATAAATACACTTGAATGAGATGATCTAGTGGCTTCTCATGCTAATACCACTTGAATGACAATGATTAGGGATTTGAAATTGGAGAAGAAGATTAAATAATATTGATATTAATTAATTTTGAAGTATTTATTTGCAACAACAAAGCCGATGATGCAGTGGTTGGATGTTTGATATAAGGGGGAATCACAAAAAATCTTAAGGGGGATAAATTTAATCTCACCACTATTGCAAGGAGTAGAAGGCATTTAACCCCTTTTCAATTATGATTTTGTTTGGCAAGAACTTTAACCCTGCATTGTTGGTTTAAGTTTTTTTAGGGTGGTTTTTTCTACCAAGTTTACATGAATCCAACTGAAAACTTTTGCCCAAACAAATAGAATAGTGCAAACCATCATCTATTTATTGTTTAATCAATTTATATTTATACTTTATACTTTTGTTGGATATGTATCTATCATTCAATTAATATCATGTTATATTGATAATTTATTTTTTAGAATTGATAGTTTAGTTGAGTTACTGTTGAAAATGTAACGATACATTCATATTTTCATGGACAATAGTGACCCGTATGAGAATTGGATGAAGAAGTTAAATGATTGTTTGTTTGATTAGTTAGAAATGAATTAGTAAGAAATTCTTGAACTAATTGGCAAGGAGATTTTTATTCAGCTCTGCTTGTAAGCCACAAGAAATATCAAGAAGCATTACTCATTTCAACGAATAGAAAAATAGCTATAATTTAAGACTTTAGTAGAGTCATGCACCCTCAGAATATTAAACATGTTGCATTGATATCTCATGCACCACAAAATGTACAATCTTAATCACATCAACAAAAGAATTCTCAGCCTAAGCATTGAATAAACCGCAACACAATTCCTGCATGAGAATTTACATCACAGAACTGAGGAGACATCTATATGCAGTGTTCCCCAAACCCTCTTAAATTCACCAACATATACTTCCATTATTTTGTCAATCAATCTACAATGCCAAGTGTATTAAGGCCTTGAACCAGACTAAGGACCATGACTTTTAATCAACTATGATTCTTATAAAATTGCCTCTGGCATCCCAAGCTTGCCACTGATATATAATTGCTTTGGGATATCGCACGGGTGAATTAATTCAAGTGCTATCAAATATCTTTTAGATATTTCATCAAACAACTTGCAGGCAGAAGTCCAATCATTGAAACCAGAATTTTCAAAAAAGATGAAGCATAAAAGAACAAAGTACAAAGAACCATATTCCAATATTCTACACACATGTTGCATCTGCACAACATCAACACACATATTCTTTTCAATTAATCTATTTTAAAAGATTACTAATGTCCATGCGTTCACGAATTACAATTAGCTAAAACACAGAAAAACCAACATAATCAGAAAAACCAACATAATCAGAAAAACAAAAGAGACTGAGTAACATGCTAAGTTCAATAACCTATAAATGAAAACAATAAACAACAATGCCAAGATAAAAATAACAAAACATTTCATTTATTAAATGTGCTTGAAGAAAGAAAAAAAATACAAAATTTGAGATAGAGGTGCCTGAGATAGAGTACTTATTATTCTAATTTAAGATATGATATCTCCACAAGTTCTCCATTCAAAAGTGGGATTTATGTTACTGCTACTATGTTAGATCATTAAAAAAATGGGATTTCCCCGCGTGAATTGCATGACTATTTAAATCATTAAAAAAATATCAGATCCATTGGTGTTCAATTTCCAAAATCGGCCACAACACAACCAACAAATTATTCAATGCTGAAATATTGAATTCAACAGCAAAATGCTCGGCCATCGCCTACAATCCATAACTCTTCTCCAGTTCTGAAACTGGTTGAGGAAGATCCATGTCATCTGGTATAAGCAATATATAACAAAGGCGAAAGAATCGTTGTGAAGAGAATAATACCATGACATGAGGAGCAATCCTAACACAAAAAACAAGGAATCCAGTGTAACACTTGAAGGGTCCTCCTGCTTTGGAGGTTATGACAACACAATCAAGAGAGAATGTGTACGGATATTTTCTTTTAGCATCAGATTGCATCTTCTGAATCTGAGTACATGCGTAAGTATTCACAAATCCTAAGTCTCTATCAAAACCATGTTCTTGCACAAACATAGTAGGTATAACTGCAAAACAATAGATAATAAATCAAAAAAATCAAATCTTAAAATCAAAATCGCAAAACAAAGATGCAGAAAACACATACTAAAATGACTTACTCAGATCTTGAGCGTCTTGGATTGCCTTATTAGAAGTCTAACTTTACCGGTAACCTTATGTTTCAAAAACTTGACAGTACCAGTCCCTCTCTCCTTCCACTGATTTCCATCCTATATTGATTAGCTAAATGTTTCACTATAAAAAATGGATGCTTTTATTGTTAGTATTGATACAATATGAGTCTATAGCCCTTAAATTATGGTATTATTACTATATAAATTAACTTATATTTGTGAGTAGGTATAGAATATGAGTTTAATTTATATGTACTGACAGTGCAAAATTATTTTATACAGTTATTCAATAGAAAATCAATAATGTGTTTTGTCGTTAAGAAAATTTTAAAATTAAAATATGATTTATTCTAATATAAAGTTGTAATTAGTTAACAGTGTAAAATTAATTTATATCGTCAATACGTTCCTTTTTTTCTCATAAAATATAGTGGAATATTTATTTGTAAGGGTGTTTAGTTTAAAGATTGAATGTAGTTCTATATGTTGGAATTTTAATTTTAATTTTTTCACTCAAAAAGGTGTTTTGAATGTTTTATAGTCGTTGCTCTAACGGTATCAACTTAATTAAAAGTTTTTGTTTTAAAGTGTCTCATCTTTTAGAAGGATCTCGTTAATTTTTTTCAACCTACTTGTATTACAGATGCTTTTTCTTATGAATATATTGACTTTCAAATTTCACATTTATGTACAGTTTTTTGTATGTATGGACTGCACTTTTTTTCATCAAGTTTTATTCTATTGAATTTTTTGCTAAATTTTTTAATGAGATTTGTCTAAAATCTTTCTCTTTAGTTTTGGCCTAGCCACCTCCTTCTCCTAGATTATATTTATTTTCTTAATTTTTAGTAATATCCGGGTGTTATATGTTATGCATTTGCACCTATTTGATTAAAAAAATAATTCTCATGAAATTAATATTATATAGGGATTTTATTGGCTAATCAGAACTTAAAAGTGGATCGAAGGTTGATGACGTCTGCTTAATTGGAAATCAGAGGAGAGGAGGGGAGTGTACCTACAAGGCAATCCGACTAGTGAGAAAGAGTGCAAAGAGATACAAGAAAGAAATTAAGGTTTTTGTATCAATATTGAATACCTGACTCTCACAAAATGAAGGTTTATATACTGCTCCCGACGCGTAGCCATTGATCCTTATTTTTGAGTTTGGATATTCAGATCCGTAAAAATAGATAACTGTCAAGACTTTGTCAAAACTAGTCGTTACACCGAACACGAAAGAGATTATGGGCAAAAGCGTTTATGAGCGTTTTTTGAATGTTTACTCTACGTCTGTCGAGCAGACTAGATGTTTGCTTTCGGACACCGATGATCTCACTCACCATATAAAATACTTGTTAAGTCGGTTAAATTCGAGTTATTAGGTCGGTTCCGCACCCGACTTAATTGCAGGCAATGTAACAAGTTTTGCCTTTTAAATCAAATCCTTGCTCCGACTTAACAAACCCTTTGTTAAATCAATTTTTTAATAACCGACCCAAGAAGTTTTTTTATTATTTTTTTTTTTTTTAGTTTAATTTTTCCTACGTATAAGCAGAATTTAGCCACCATAGAACATAATTTCATTTTACAACCACTATTCAAAACATAACAGTATACCAAATTACATATTTACTATGCAAATTTCTTGGATTACACGAATTTACATCAATGAATAAAAATAAATACAATGCTTCATAAGACAATTTTAATGCTTACAAGAGTAACATACATTCAGGAACAATTTCTTTATTAGGCACATCAATTTGAAGCAAGACACCTTTATCACACAAATAAAATTCTCCTTAAGAAACTTGCTGAATGCCAAGACTTTTTAGTGAATTCTTTTTATCATATCAAGACAATCAACATGCAACATGACCTATCCAGTTGATAATAAACACAAAGTGATACAAATCATGCACATTAGGCTAACCATGTATGACCATAATCATGCACATTAGGCTAACCATGTATGACCATAAGACACTCATTATGCATCTGTTAAAATTATAATCACATTAACAGACATTTTATCTTGTAAGACATTGCCAGAGGCACTCACATATTATCTTATAGACGTGAGACTAATAGGAAGCTCTTCAATCACTTTTTTACTGATTTCGCTTTAAAAAGTTTGATTTCGCTTACACCAAGTGATTCTCTAATTCCATGATGTGTGAAATCCAGACTTAGTTTCAAGAAAATCTACTGCATTAATAAAATATAAATTTCATTAATATATTGCCAGAGTAAGAAACATTCTTCAATTTCTAGAAGAAAGATCTGAATAAACCGAACAAACTTCAAAAACAAAACCTTT